CTCTCTCTCTCTCTCTCTCTCTCTCTCTCTCTCTCTCTCTCTCTGTGTGTGTGTGTGTGTGTGTGTGTGTGTGTGTGTGTGTGTGTGTGTGTCTTCGTCTTCCCAGCTGAGGGTTTGGGGAGCAGCCATGCCAAATGAGGAGCTGATGAAAAGATCTGCACCTTGGGGAGAAGGGAGATGGATAGGGATGAGGTACTGAGTCCTCAGCCCGGGCTCGGGTGTCATTTATCATCTGTAATAGAGCGTCCCACCTGCCGCTCAGGCCTGTTTCTCACCACACCGGTTCTTAGCGGTGGGAAGGCATTTGAGAGATGAAATAATAAGACTGGAAAGGCTCACTTACTCCCCGTGGCCCCTTCTCCTCCCAGTAAGTTCTGGGCTCTGGGCCTGCAGCATCTCTTCTTTTTTTCCCTGAGTCCTAAGAGTAAAAGCATTTGAGAAAATTCATAAGACGTATATGGCACACATTCCAGCAGCATCTTAGGAGTCCAGCCTGGGCCCTGAGGCTTGCAGACTCTCGGGGAGCCAGTCTGAGGAGTGTCATGCTGAAAGCCTGAAGGCTTTAAGGCTGTTTCACCCCAATATTAAAAGTGCCACAGTGAAGCCAGCCACTGACAGCTATGCCCATTAGCTCTGCGGTTGAGATGTCAACTAAATAGCAGCATGCTTCCATGGCAGGGAGACACGGCAGTCTCATGGTCTGTCTCTTTCTTCCTTCTATTTGTGACATTGACTCTTTCAACACATTGCTTGGTTGCTTCCCACAGCATTCTCTGAAGAGCACAGCTGCCTCCAAAGGCAGCTGCTGATAGTCAAGCCCCGAAGCCCCGATTCCTCTTTCCAGCTTCCCCCGACAGCTCTTGGACCCTTGGATGAGGCTCTGTAGGCCAACAGCTGCACACTGTGGCTATGGCAGTGTGTGTCCTGTCTCCTACAACCAGGACATGGGACTTGTGCCCTTGTGCTTTTTGCTAAGAGACGCCGTCCTGTCCTCAAGGCCAGAGAATACAGTAACCCCTCAGTGGTCCCTTGGTGAGAAGTGGTTGGTTAATTGACTGTTCTCTGCTCTGTTCTCCAGACGCCTAGAACAGAACTCCATCAAATCCATTCCTGCAGGAGCCTTCACCCAGTACAAGAAACTGAAGCGAATGTGAGTTTCCCTTGGGAAGACATTATCAGAATGTTTCCATGGGCGGGTGGATGGGTAGAGGGCTTCCCGGTGTGTAGTAGGCATCCCACCCGATAGACAGATCACATCCACTCTTCTCAGGCAGGTCTAGGCTGGTCTCCTGAGATTGTGATGAAGTGTTACATACACTTGGTAAGGTTTGTGAGCTTCAGCATGTAGAGCAAAGAGCCTCTCTGACCAGAGAAAAGTGAAATTATCCTTGTGAGAGAAGCAGGTGAGCTGCCCCACCCCCAGAGCCATATTGGCCAACTTTAATGCCCTTGGCTTTGGTGATATCAACAGCAATGTGATAGTGGCTTCACATCTTGTACTACCATCATTCACATTCCTACAAACATGCATATACACATACAGTTAATACTTAAATGAATGTCCGCTACATGCCAGTCTGGATGGAGCATCAACAAAAATGAAAGTTAGATTCATGGAGGCTCCACTACAGTTGGGAGAGCACAAAAAAATAAGGAATTAAGTATCAGAAATTGGTAAGCTGTCCTAGGCAACAGGAAGGGCAAATGGAAGGCATGGAAATCATGCATGGTAGTTCATAGCCAATGGTTAAGAGCACTGGCTGCTCTTCCAGAGGACCCAGGTTCCATTCCCAGCACCCACATGGCAGTTCACAACTGTCTGTAACTCCCTGTTCCAGGGGACCCAACACCCTCACACCACACATACATGCAGGCATAAAATACAAATAAATAAATAAATAATTTTTTTAAAAGATTCTAAAGGGAGACCCCTTTCCCTTTCCATGTTGGGAAACGGTTAGCCTAACCTGGTATTCAGTGTGCTGTTTTCATTCCACTGGAGAATGAAAAATATGCATGGACTCCATCCTGCTTTCCCTTGCATATCAGGTCTGTTCACTGATTTCCCTTGAGTGGGAGGAGCCTGTATCAACCAGGTCTACTGAGTCCTTTCATGTTAAAAATAAACATGCCCACAAAACAGTGGCATTAGTAGGCTTACCCTCCAATCTCAGGAAGCCAACTTCCCATCTCCCTGGAAAGCCAAAGCAAACAAGATTTTCTCCTAGTGCAATTCCAAAAGTGGGAAACCCACATAACGAGCCAGCTCAAGGCACAGGCTCCTTCCCTCTCTTTGGCAGCATCCTTTCTGGAAGAGCTGTATAAATATAGGCCTTAATATTTAAAATCTCGGGTCATTCATCTCTTGGTGTCCCTGCTTCTCCAGCTCAGACTCCATGCCCCCCCAAATTCATTTTTTAAAGCCCAGCTTGATTATGCACCCAGATAGTAATTTTGGTGAGAAATGACGAGTTCAGTGACTGCCTCCAACCTATAGCTCCTGCATGATTGAAGTTACTGTTCTAATTTTTTGTGAAGTCCAGGTAATTTAGAGCTTGGCTGTGTTTTACTGTCCTTCCTCCATCCTATTGGAGTTGCCACAATGGGCACATTCAAAATTCATAAGACCTTATCAGTCACAACCTGGAGAGTGAATTTAATTTTTGATTACTTCTGATGCTACTGGTATTTATTATGATGCCCCACAAAGGGGTGGAAGGCGGAAAGAGAATCCACTTAAACTTTTTTGACTAATAGAATTTCAAAAATATAGACTATTGTTTAATGGTGTGGGCTCAGATAAGTCTCAGATGCAAATGGATTTCAGACCCTAATCATGATTTTCTCCTAGGTGACCATGAATAGTTTATACATAATATTTAACCGGAGGAAATTCCTCTCTCGGCTGTGACTGAACACATCCTGGTCTCTCTCTAAAAAATAGAATTATCCATGAATCATTGGCTCCACTCTTACCTATTTCTAATGGTCACCCCAATATTAAAATAAATTGTGCCAGGTGAAAACCCATATCAGTAAGAGATGGGATACTGGAGACCGTTTTCCTGGTTTTATAAAGTTGATTTGTGGACAACCCTACCACTGAGGGCAAGCCTGTGCTCCTCTGCCAGAATGGCATTATAAGAGTTCTTTGAAGCCAGATGTGGTGGTACAGGTATAATCCCAACTCGGGAGTTTAGGCATTGTGAGTGGTGAGTTTGAGGCCAACCTGAGCAACATAGTCAAACCATGTCTCAAAACCAAAACAAATTCTTTTCATTTGCATGCACAAGGGTAGAACAAATCTTCCACAGGTTGTAACATTTCCTAGTCTCTTATTTTTTTTAATTCCCTGCTTATCCCTTCTATGTACTGAAGTTGCTGTTCCAGCCTGGAAAAGCTGGTCTCTCTTAGTCATTCCGTTTATAGCTGTAGGGGACTGAGTAGGTCTCAGCATGACTAGATTCTGAAACAAGGGTAGTATGACCGAGGGATCTCCTGCATGCACACTTCTTACAGATTTAGTAAATACACAGATTTGTGTTTTCTGGTGCCCTGAACACCTGGCTTAACAAATCAAATGACTCTGGGGTTTGAACCCTGGCCAAGACTGTCTGTACTGTGTCCAGCTTAGTGACATCAGGAACAGCCTTGAGCTGAAGGTCTGGAGGTAGAGATGTCCACTTATTACCCAAATGCCTGTGTCAAGACCTTAACAGCTTCATGCCCTTAACCTCTCAGGGTGGTTGTTTCTTCCTGCAGTCTTTAAATGTGCCATATAGTCCCACTTAGAGATCCATATAGTCCCACTTAGAGATCCATATAGTCCCACTTAGAGATCTGTATAGTCTCACTTAAAGATCCATATAGTCCCACTTAGAGATCTATATAGTCTCACTTAGGGATCCATATAGTCCCACGTAGAGATCCATATAGTCTCACTTAGAGATTTATATAGTGTCACTTAGAGATCTATATAGTCCCACTTACACATCACGTTGGTTACATTTTTCCCTTCTGTGACTAAATAGCTTGAAGACAGAGGGGTTCATTCTGGCTCCCAGTTTTAAAGGATACAGGGCCTGGAGAAATGGCTCAGCAGTTAAGAACACTGGCTTTTCTTCCAGAGGACCTGGTTAGATTCCCAGCACCCACATGACCAGAAGCCATCTGTAACTACAGTTCCAGGGAATCTGACACCCTCTTTTTACCTCTGCACATATATGGTGCACAGACATACATGCGGGCAAACACCCATATATCTGATATTTTTTAATTAAAAGGCATATAGCCCATCATGGCAGGAAAGCCATAAAAGTGATGGCTTACGATGGCTGTTTGAGTTAGTAGTCATGAGGCAGGGAGAGACAAATGCTGGTCCTCAGCTGCCTTTTCCCCTTCCCCCTTTTTATTTAGTCAGGGACCCCAGCCCATTGAAGGGTGCCACTCCCATTCAGAGTCCATTTCTCCATCTCAGTTAACCCTCTCTTGAAACAGCCTCTCAGACACAGCCAGAGGTGTGTCTCCTAGGTGATTACCAAATCCAGTCATGTTGACAGTGGAGATGAACCATCATATACACGAATCTAAATTTCCAACTCAGAGAAGCAGCAGGCAGGATGACACTCAAGGGGCCAGGGTGGAGGTAGAGTGGCGGGACTGGAGAGGTGTCCAAGGATACAGAATCTCAGTTGGCCTAGAGGAGGATGTTCAAAAGATGTATCCTCTACCATGTTGGCTGTGGTTAATAGCAGTGTATTGTTTACTTGAAAATTTCTGAAGGTAGGGTTTTAAATGTCCTTACAAGTAATAACAGAGAACTTCCTAGGGTTTGAATGTGCTAAACAGCTTGATTTAGCCATTTCACAGTGAGTACATATTCCCAAACATCACATTACAAATTTATAAATGTATACAATAAAAAAAAAATGGGCGGGGGGAAGGCCTAAGTGACTACCAGTGTCTATTCTCACCAAACTATCACTTTTCCGGTTCCCATCATCCATCACTTCCAAATTAGAAGATTATCTCACCTCATGTTATAGCCCACGGAGAGTTGAGCCCCAAAGTTCTCGTTGTGAACTAAAACCCCAATCTGTCCCCACACAGCTGAGGTAGGGATCTTTCCCAATGCCTGGGGGACTTCCTGTATGGTAGAGGTCTGAGCCCCGTGAATGGACATCCCACGACGAGGGGGGAAACCCAAAATGGGCCTCCACGCTAACGTGAGCAGACCCTGTGTGTGCTGTTCTAAAATGCTTTCTAGGCAGCCACCCTGAGGGTGAGCAAGATTAAGATAATCCAGGGTATTTGCTTGTTAAGACCCTTATACAAAAATGGAGCGCCGAAGAAAAGCCCAGTGTAAGCTGACGAGTTTGCGAACACAATCTGGATTTGTTTGAGGCGATCTCGCCAGCTAAAGGGATAAACCAGACAGCTGTGCAGGAGGGGCCTTAACCTGGGAAATCTCTTTCAACTTACAGACTTTGGAAGGAGGACAGAAGGGAGCAGAGGTCTAGGCAAAAGTTGTTGCATGGCCCTTTTCTAGGCTGTTAGGTGAAGGAGGTAGACAGGACAGAGGTGTTCCTTTCGTGTGAGCTTAAGAGGCTGGTGCGGCTGGGTGGCTGACCCCACTGGCGGCCATCACTTATGAATCTTCTCAGATGTGTCTCTTCCTGTTGGCCTGGGAAGACCTCAGCCCTCCCTCTCCTGCACAAAAGCAAGGGCCCGTTGATTTATTTTGTTGAATGGGAGAAGTTTCTTGTCGGAGGAAATCGGTGCCTCTCTCCTGCCAGTGACAGGAGCCCAAAGGCCAGCCCTGAGCTAATGACGATGAAGGAAAAGAAATCCCCCTCCACAAGGGCCATTAGCAAGAGCCTGTGGCCCAGTTCTCACTGGGATGCTGAAAGCACACGGCAGAGGACTCCCTGCATCTGGGAGACTAGACAAGCTATTGCACCAGCAACTTTGAAATCTGGCTAGCTGTGGCACCCACACCTTCGAGGCCAGGCTAGCCACCATGTGCACTGTGTTTGGAAGACCCTTCTAACACATAGCAGCCCTCTTAAACTTGGGATATATCACCTCCCTAGGCTTGTTCCCAAATGAGGAGCATTCCCAGCCAGTGACACATCCATGTCTCAAAGGCGTTCTTTGAGAGTCTTGTGATTTGCTTATATCACACAGCTAAGAGGATGCTTCATCTGTCCTCCTTCAGGTCAGAGATGAGAAATGACTGGGGAGGTGAAATGCCACCGGGCTTTCCATAATCACCAGCGGGGTACAAGACAAGAAAGCAATGCATCAGGGAGCCTGGCCTGGCCTTTGGGTGGGTGGAACCCATGCTGCTTTGTCTCTACTGTTAAATACTTAATAATGGTACCTGAGACCAAGGCCCTGGCTTGAAGTTGGCTTTGGTTTGGGGTTCTTTTTTTGAGGGGGGGGGGGTGTTTTTGTTCATTTGTTTTGTTTGTTTTAGTTGGTTGGTTGGTTGGGTTTTGGTTTTTGTTTTGTTTTGTTTTATTGAGACTGGGTGTCACTGTGTAGCCCAGGCTGGTCTCTAACTCCCAATCCTCCTGCCTCAGCCTCCAAAGTGCTGGGATCACGGGGCATCAGCATGCCCAAGAAGCACAGCTTCCAGATGTGGCTTTACACCTAAACACCAATGACCTACATATTCATAGCCTTTTGTGCCAGGCAAGACTTAAGTGGGCATCCCTTAGACCCTGAGAAGACATGCAGAGGAATACTTTACCCTGAGGCAGTAGGAGATGTGTTCTTTAGGTATTGCCTCTTGTGCTGTGAATAAACTGCTTGATTGATCAATTACTCTGTACCAGTTTTGAATGGCTGAACTGCTGGGTGAATACTTCAGGAAGAGCCTTATCACACCTGTGAGCCGTGTTCTCAGACTTTCCCATTAATGTTTTCAGAGACATCAGCAAGAATCAAATATCGGACATAGCTCCAGACACCTTCCAGGGCCTGAAATCACTCACATCGCTGTAAGTGGGGCCGGGGTGGGAGGCGCGTCCGTATTTTTCAGGAGGTGTTTATCAAGGCTTTATGTTCCCTTACACACTTGTGGCAATCTGGTAAAAGAAACAAATATTTCTTCAGGGGAAATTGATCTTGGGGAATATTTCTACAACTCACATGCATTATTTTTATTGATTAAGTGCCCAGCGGCTTTCCCAGTTATCGGCTTCTAATTCGAATGCATCTTGACTCTCACCTCACTCCCCCTCCCACCCCACCTCACCCCCCCTCCCACCCCACGTTGCCCAGTGCTGTCTCGGGAGACCGGGAGATCGGGTGGAGAGAATGGTAATGTATGTCTGAGAGGAGGCCATGGCTCACCGCCCCTCCTCCCACGGTCTGGGGCCAAGTCGAGGAGGGCAGCATTTCCTTTTTTTCTGATTTCCAGGCTATTCCAGCCTCGTAGTTAGTGTTCAGAAAGGATCTACCCCATCCCATGACTTTTCCTTTCATGGATTTTTAAAGCCCCACCTTTTTTTTTTTTAGCCCAGTGGTGAGATTCAAAGCCTCACCCACCAAGGGCCACTGGACTCCCAGGCTAAGAGAGTGTGGGGTTTTCCCCTCCTTCCCTCAGCAGCTCCCTCAGGGCAGAGGCAGTCCCTTGAGCCTTCTCTGCATGTTTCCTCAGGCAAAATGGAGACAGTGGTCCTGCCTTGCCTTGGTCCTGCCTTGCCTAACACAGTGGATGATTGACATATCACAGTAATAACAATAATTGACAGCATTTATCAGGCACTGATTGATGCCAGGTACTCTTCCAGGAGTCTTGTGGGTTTAATCCTCATAAAAACATAATCTGTGGTGTCTACTGCCGTGGATCTAAGCTCCTTAATGGTTTTTGTACCCATCGGGAACCCTGGCATCTCAAACTGTACCTAGCACATAGTGACTGAAGAAAAGACTCTGGGCTGGGGAGGTAACAGTGAGTACACTCCCTGCTGCCCAAGCCTAAGGATCTGAGGCCGGATCCCTAGCATCCACATAGAAGCAGGGCACGGTGGTATACAACTGTAAGCCAGCCCTGGGGAGGAGGGGAAAGATGGCGGGCGGGCTCTCAGGAGCTCACCGGTCATCACTCCAGGTTCACTGAGAGACCCTGTCTCAAAAACTAAAATGGAGAGCCGTAGAGGAATATATATTCCTTCTGGCCTGCACACATACACACAGGTGAGCCACCACACACACACACACACACACACCCTGTGCCTATACACACACTCACTGGCATACATCACAGAGAGGGAGTAGGGAGGAAGGGGGAAGAGAAAGAGCATGTTAAATTAGTGGGAGAAAAAAAAAAACTTCTGTAAAAACACACTAATGAGTCTGAGAGAGAGGATTTGAGCCCAGCATGTTTGGTCTAGAATTTCACTCCTGATACCCATGCTATGGAGCCCTCTCCACGTAATGTGGGAGCTGTGGCATCAGAAATAGTAATGGTTTCACCAGTTTTTATATTTGTATCACCTAGTGCCTTGTTCCCTTCGACATCCCCAGACAATAAAGAGGGTGTTCACAGGCATGCGATCCGTGTTTTGCCTCTTCACCACCTGTTTGCCTAGTTTACAAGCATGCAGGTAACAAGACAAACATATCCTCCCATCCCACTGGGCAGGGGCCGAGGACAGGAAGTCCCTGATTCCGCTGGTGTCTGCTGCCTGCCGAGTAAATTAGTTTCATTTATCGAATAGAACATCTGGCTGGGATATCAAAGACAGGGCCGTGTGTGAGATTAGTGTCTGCTTATTGTGATGAGTGTCACAGAGGAGAGGAGACAGAGAGGCCCCTGCTATCAGGATCCCATCTTAACCTTCCCATTCCCCTTGTCTGGCTCCCTTCGCTGACATTTGGGAATGGTCTCAAGATAGTAGGATGAATCCTGTCTTGCAGAAGAAATTCGAAGTCTGGTTGCCAAACAGGAAAATGGCACACCAGTAGTGGACTCAGAGGCGTGCCAAGCTTTCCGTGAAGTGCCTCTCCACTTTCGTTTATCCATTCCTCCATTTAGCAGGTACCTGCTCTGTGAGTGGGCAGAGTTTTATAGGCATTAATAATATGACCAGGAACTGAATAGAAGAGCCGCCAGGGCTCATGAAGCTGACCGTGTAGGGTAAAGGGATGGAGAGCCTTTACCCCAGACCTGTTCATTCATTCAGACATTCATTCAGCTGGCATTTATTATACTAGACCTTGCTCTTTCTCCACTCTAGAGACCCAGCCATGGGCATGCCCTGTAACATCATCACATTCAGGAGAGTTAAAGGAAGAACATAAAAACTAAGCCTGACAGAGCTGGAGAGCTGGCTCAGCTTTTAAGAGCACTGGCTCCTCTTCTAGAGGACCTGGGTTCAGTTCCCAGCACCTACGTGGCAGCTCACAACTAACTGTAACTCCAGTCGCAGGGGATCTCACATCCTCTTCCGGCCTCTGCAGGCACCAGGTGCACACATGGTGGACAGACAGACACACAGGCAAACCACCCATACCTATAAAATAATAAGAAAAAACTAAGCCTAAATAAATGTGTGAGTAATGTAAGCTAATATGAAGGTGATTGCTAGGGAGAAGCAAAATAAGATAATCGATGGTAGCAAATCTTAGCTAAAACATTTAGGAGACTTCTGCAGAAGGAGAGGGGTTTGGGCTCAGATGTGAAAGGCTAGTGAGGGTAATCAAGGCAAGGCCTCAGGTGAGCAGCCACACAGATCTGCTGGCCGGCACCTTGAGACTGATACAGAGGCAGGTGATTGACGCACTAGGTTTGAGGATGCTCCGTACCGAGGAGTGATGGACTGCCTGAGGACCCCTACCCCAGCTTCCCTGCTCCCACCGCCAGCAGCTTCTGCCACTCTAGAAGCTCTGACATCCATTGGGACGCAGAGGCAGCGGCATCACCACATTTGGCGCAGTGAGCAGTGGGACATTAATATGAATTACAAATGTGAGCCTGCGCCATCATGCTGACTTCTAGTTAGTCATTAATTTGTTGAAGCATTAATGAAACACACCCGCAGGCTGATGGAGAGCTCACTCTTCGCTCCCAGTGGCCCCTGGAAATGGGCGTCGGTGGGGGAGAGGGGCCTCTTTCACACCCATGAATACTGTTAATTCCTTCTAATATTTTGCCGCCTCGAATGACCGTCAGCCTAGATTCGAGATCTGAGTGGGAATGAAATAATTTGCATAGCGCATGAGCTTAGACCTCAGAAGGGGTTTCAACAGAAGCAACCCAAGCCCTCTTTAGCTCTGTTTCCTGATCAGAGGGGAGGCTGGACCTTAAGGACAGCAAAGTCTGTCATGAGATGAAGCAGAGCGAGGCCTGGAGAGCCTCAGTTCCAGGTTTACAGAGCTGCTAGGTGCTAGGCTTGAAAGGTAAACCCATATTCCTTCCCCGGGCTTCTTGAGTCACCAAACATGAGGCCTAGAAATAGCAGGGGGATCATTATAGGCCTGAGAGATTAAATGAAAAATAGAAAATCTGAGTTCCTTTCTTCTTAGATCCAAGAGAATGGGGCAGGCGGATAGAGAGTGGAAGCTGCCGTCATCTGAGACAGCGAAACTCCTCAGCCTCCCCACTGAGTCAGGCCTCAACTCAGCAATGCCTGCACCATCTGGAGATGCCCCCGCACACCCGTAGCCCTGCTGTCTAGATGGGTGATTAAAGAACTCAGCTCAGGAATTCCTAGGATGCAGTGGGATATTAAAAGGAAACATTCTATAGGCTGGCTCAGCCTGATCAATACCCATTGAAGACACAGGCTGGCCTCCCACACTGCTTATTTACTGTGGGGGGTGAGTCACACCAGCAGCTCAGAGGTACCACAAAGGGCTGCTCCTTCCTTGTGGGGGTGATGTGCGGGGCTGGGCTGGAGTGCAGCAAGATGGAGCCTGTCGCACCTCACCTCCAGGACGGTACCCCCAGGACGGCACCCCCGGCACAGGGTGGAACTGCCTGCCCCTGTCTCCGTGATAAGAAGATGGGCTGGATGTGGCAGATCAGGGAGGCGGGTGACCTGAGATCTTGCCCCCGGGACTGGCAGAGGTGATCACCTCCCTTTATCCCTGCTGATTGCTGTCATTTGCTTCCTTCCAGGGTGCTCTATGGTAACAAGATTACAGAGATTCCCAAGGGACTGTTTGACGGGCTGGTGTCCCTACAGCTGCTGTGAGTAGGAACCGGCGGTGTTTTGCATTCTTGTGACGGTTTTTGCAGACTGGAAATGTTAAGCCATGCTCCGGAGAGTTCTTTTGACTTTATGCCTATCATACTGACACCAAAGCCTCTGTGCATTCCATCTCTCCTCTCCAAGGCCTCGTTTTTTGTGGCCAGAGAGGCAGAGTGTTGGCAGAGAACACCAAGGCCAGTGTACATCAGCCTAAATGATGCAGTCCAGAACCCTGGCCCTCGCGCGTGCGTGCCGTGAATAGGTTCATGACTTGGAAGTAAGAAAGTGCTAAGAATTTAGGGAACTAAAACCTTCCCAAGGCAAACTCCGGTCTGGAAGCTGAAAGAGCTGTCTGTAGGCATGTGACCTTGCGAGGGGTGTGGGCGGGGAGAAGCCATTAGAGAAGAAGCGTAATCAGTCAGCAGTGTGACTGTCTGGGAAGGCAGGCTGGGGGGAAGTGTTTATTTCATTTAAAGGAAGATATGTTGCCTCGAGTTTTAAGCTCTGGGCTTATTTATTTCATTCCGGTCATTTGGGCTTAAATGTTTGAAGAAGATAATTGAACTCTGATGTGGAGAAATAGAGAAAGGAATTCAGCTTATTTAGAAGATTTTTATGATGAGCAAGAATCATCCCTGGTTTGTGATGAGGTAGCTGGTATATCTGCGCTCATGTGTTATGGTTTGAGGAGTGTGTGTGTGTGTGTGTGTGTGTGTGTGTGTGTGTACGAGTGTGTGTGCACACATGCACAAATGCGTATATGACTGTCATAATTCCTGTCAGTATTAAGAATTGACCTTGAGTACCCTATGAGCATGCCAACTCTCAGAGAGGTAAATGACTTGCCCTGCGTCACACAGCAAAATAAGTGTAAGAAGTGAGTACTCTCCATGGACATATGTTCGTAAAGGCTTCCAGCTCCCTGAATAGCGCGTGACAGGATTTCCCTGGCCTTCATCTGAGTACAGATGTGCATGTAATTTTTTTTTTTAACCAATCACTTCCAAGTCAGGCAAGGTGTTGAATACCTTTAATTCCAGGCATTATGAAGCAGAAGAGTCATGAGTGTGAGGCCAGGCCGGACCACATTTGGTCCATGAGGGAGGAAGAGAGAAAGATCTGTGACCTCCATTTCCCAGGGAAGAAGAGGTTCCAGACTGCCTGCCTCCCTTGTACTGTTAGGAGGTGCCACAATCTAAGTTTGTGAGCCAGCCATATCTCTGGAAGGGGAGAAGGCACAGGACCACAGACACAAAGTGGTAGGTGGGGCACGTCTAGAAAGAAGTAAGACTCCCCTGGCCCTCCCATCTCTTCACACCCTAAACTCCCAGGTCCTGGACGGATTGCCCCAGGATATAGAACAACATTGGAATGAAATGGCCATCAAGTTCCTGGGCTGTAGGTCCAGCACAGCAGCTGTCAGACTAGTTTGATAAAGCCAAAAAGCAGAGAGAGAAAAAAACCTCCATCTTCCTGACTCTTCTTCCACTTCCATCTCATTCTGCCTGGCTATAGGTGAGCAGATCCGTGTTCAAAGGTCCTAGCCCTTCCTGAGTCTGTAAGTCTGTTTTATAGAATGACCTGCCAGGGCTCTGCAAGGATCTGGGCGTTTCACAGATGGTGTTCTTTGCTCCTAGCAGGGAAACTAAGTTATAACTGCTACCACGAGGCTGGTTAACTGTGGCCATTAATCCCCAGAAGAAGAAGAATAGCATCTGCCTGGAGGTGGGTTTGGGGGCGCTGTGGCCAGCCAGGCTGTGAGCGACCTCTTACGATAGACATTGAAAGAAGAAGGTCATGCCCATTTACACTAAGGAGAGATGGGCTGGACATCAAAGTGCCCGGCATTGTGAATGGTGTGTATCAAAAATTCTAGAACAGCGTATTTTTAAACAAAGGAAATGTGTCCCTGCTACAAGCTGACAGCAGTCGGGAGGTGACAAGCCCCCCTCCCCGGGCTTGAAAGGCAGGCCAGCTGAACAGAACCACTTTGAGCAGATGGAATTGACTAGCTAGGGGGTAAAGGCAACGCTTCTCCCTCTGTGGAGACCAGGAGTTGACACAACTCAGGCTGGCTGGCTTTCCAGAAAAAAACCCGCAGGCGGGGCTGGAGTCCATCATCTCTGGTTCTGGCCTGCTGTTGAGCAGTTGGAAAGCAGGTCCCCATTAGAACGAATTTAGGGTTCAGCGGGCTGTAGATTGGATTTCTGCTCGTTTGGCTGGAGATAGTCTGATAAGAAGGCTCTGATTAGAATACCCTGGTTGACTGGATAATTTCATCTTCTTTGACTCAGAGGCAGTCCATGGGAGTTTTGTCTCCCCCGGCCCCTCCTCCCTCTCTCTTGAATGATTGGTCAACCTGAAAGTGGAAATGTCCCTTCCGTGCCTAGGGGTCCTGGATATTTTCTTTCTGGCACTTCCTGTGGCACTAACAGAGACCAAGTGGATGTCTGTGCTTGGTTAGTCTGCCCCCTTTCCTTCCTGGTTGCTCTGGACTTAGCTGCCATCCTTCCAGATATGCCCGGTTCAGGATGTACCCAGCCAGGCCACTTTGGCTGTTTGCTTGCCATGCTCCTGTGGACAGGTGATGGACACTAAGAAGAGTTCAGTATCCTAGGTTCTCTCGGAGACTTCACCAAAGGGGTTTCTACGGGCAAGCTTTAGCTGTCCCTGGAGTTGACCCTGAACTTGAGAGGTGTGGTCCCCTGTAACCTCCCAAGGGTTACATCCTTAGCTTAATGTTCAAGATCTTGGGTCAAATGAGCCTCAGGGCCACACACACACACACACACACACACACACACACACACACACACACACAGAGGGGGGGA